TTTATTCCTTTGTTCAGTTCCACCATGCAGGACTATTGTTTTGGGAGGGGCCGGCCTAAGCATTTCCTGATTTATAGGAATAGGGTGGTCATGGATGACATATCCGGGGCAAACCAATTAGAGGGTTTTCTTTCTTTATAGGAATGTTTCTTTGGGTTATTATAAATAAATGTATAAATATGCCTGACCTGTTTTCTAGTCATTGGACGTGGAGTGAACTGGTAACTGGCTTACAAATGTTAAGAGATGTCTAGATAATAATGTTATGGAGTAGATCAACCTGCATCAGAATGGGATGGGCTGAGTTATTTTCCTTGTTTGTTTGTTTGTTGAGTTATCCGTGTACTGCAGACCACTGTAAATAAAACAGTCACCTCTGGAAACATACGATGTCAGGCTACACCACAGCGTCCTTTCATCCCTTCCCAGGAGATTGAACACTTAAATTTCGGCCTCATGTGCCAACGACGGCTATACTGTTACAACAGCCAGGAGCACTAATGAAAAAGCAGCATCCATCACCTTGATAAGTGCTGTCAGTCAAAATTGAAGAAGCCTCTTGGATGCGAGAAGAAATGTCTTCAGCCAAGTCCAGTTGCCTTCTGATAGGTTGTAGATCTATCCAATTGTGTCCAGAGGCCTTTTTGTCTGCGCCCGTTGATAACGCGAAATCGAATCCTTCCATTTGCAAATTAGTCTGCGGAGTCAGACGCTGTCCTCCTTTCACTGTCACGATTCGAGGCCGTGTCTTTGTCTTGTGTTTTTCGTCAGTTTGAATAGTTGAAAGTTTTGCGAGGAAGAATATGGCCTCTGCTGTGATACAAAGCCATTTGACAGGAGGCCGGCTGTTTGGTAGAAGGCATGTAAGTTATGTAACAGAAGGGCCTTGGTGAGTGTAAAAATGATTCAGACTGGAATAAACGGGTGCTTTTCTGTTGCATAACTAGATGACACCTCTGTGTCCCTTCCATCCACACATACACAAACACTTTATTTAATAAACTGAAGGCACATAAACAGTGCACGTCCTCCATCTCCTACCGTTACTCCTTTAAAGTTTCTCAAGCAGCTTTTCCACACTGCACATAACACACAGATACAGGCATGAGTATCATGCTGATTCACTCTTATAAAATCACTGACTCTGGTGAAGTATGATCTAAAGCAAGCAACAGGTGGACAAGAAAACAAGTTGATAAAGTAAAACAACAGTAGCGCCACCTCGAACTTTGTGTTTTTTTTGTAGCAAAGTGTTTATGTGTAGAATATCTGCTTCTAGTGTTTCGCTGTGAATCTGTACTAAAAAAGCATTGCTGTGCCTCATTTGTAAGACTGCATCATAAAATACTAAGAAACACCAGTTGTGGCACTATATTATGTCATATTTTATACCCTTCTTACTATCAACAGCTTTATTAAATTTCACACGTTTAGAAGTGTAAAACCTTGTAAAATATTCCTTGTTTCCCAGCAAATTAACACTTGCTTTTGTAGCATTTGTTTCTCCAAATTAAGGCCAACAATATTCCATAAATGCGATCAGCCCAGAGTTTTTCAGCTAAAATCGTTAGTGTTCAAAAACGTGAAAGGGCATTTAAAAGGTTTGGCATCTTTCAAAGCCAAACATCTTTGTTGGAGTCAATATAATACTGGATTGTTGCAAACGAAATGTCTCCATCAGGTCTGCCAGCTCCTTAGTCACTCAACTGATTCAGATCCTTATTTTTGGGCTGCTCAAAAACGTAATGAACAAAAGATATCGCCCCCCCTCATGAAAAGTCACATTTTCTCTTAAATGTAATGTAAATTTTTGGGCTTTGGTTGTAGGCCTCAGTGTGTTGAATAATGTGTAGTAGAACTGTTCATTATTGATTACAGTTTCTACTGTTGGTCATTGATAAGTTTGTTCATCCAACATAATTATGATATATTGTAAAAAATATAGTTTATTGGTGAATTATTTAGAGGCAACGGCTGGTGTACAAAGTGATGAACACATACAAATGGGCAGATTCATGGAAAAACCAATGAAGTATTTTAGTAAAGTGCTGTTCCACCAGAGCCTCCAGAGCAGCGTCATAGATTGTCCAAGTCTTAGGAATGCTACTGGAGGTATGAACACCGTTTGCTACTGGAGGTATGAACACCGTTTTCCCAAACACGTTGTTTGGTGTTTTTATGATCGTGGTGGAAAGCACTTTCTAAAGCTATTGATTTTATTGATTGTCTGAGTTCTGTTAACTCTCACTGTATGTTTTCTCCACTCTTTCTAAACAGCAAAAACATAAGATTTTAATACTGTATTTACAAATGGTTGGGAAGATTGAGTGGTTTTCAGTGTAAAGTTGGGAAGATTGAGTGGTTTTCAGTGTAAAGTTCAGCTTGATTTATATTTGAACACACCTGCTAAGTCAAGATGACAGTTTTGACCACAACATTTAAAGTACTACTCCAGTAATATTAAAACAAGCTCACTGTAGTTCAAATCTGATCCTTTTTTTACCGAAGTTTCTGACCTGCTAGAAAAACATCACATTGTCTACCAGCCAGATCGTTAATCAGATGTCCTTTATCCCTGTGTATTTCCTTTCAAACTGAATAGCAACAACGTCATCTCGCAGAAATTCCTTCTGATTCTATAGTTAGTTGGGGGGTGACCAATTCAGGCATAATCAGGCTTAATCCAAGCTGTTTCTGCCTAGTTTTATATGTCGCTCCAAAATTTCCTGGGTTGAGATCTGGTTACCGTAGCATATAATTCACATCATTTTCATACTCATCAAACCGTTCAGTGACTTCTCATGCCATGTCAATTTGTCACTCTGGAATAGACCACTTCTATTAGAACTGTTTTACTGGAAGATAAAGTTGCCATCCTGATTCAAAATCGAGATCAACTGGCCTGCTCAGTATTGTTGTTCACGACACAGAATGATAGGATGTTGACACTTTGTCTTTCTGTAACACCGTGAGTCCTTTTTGTTGAGGCCCTGTTTTACCATCAGTCTTTGAAGAGTGGAACTGGACTCAAGTTATTGAATTTTTGTGTCCTTGTCTATTCTGCAGTTTCCTTCACTTTTAAATATCTTTTACAAAATGTGGCTTTTCGGTTTTGCAGAGGTTGCTCTCTTCTTTATTGTTCGGTATTTCTTTGAATTTTCAGATGTCCTGAATAAGAAAAACATGTTCTTTGCCTCCTAGCTGCATGCAGGTTAACTTGACATGTCAAACTATTTCCTTTATGCACCACTTTGTCGGTAAGACAAGTTACATCATACTGCACCTTTCAACTTCAAAGGATATAAATAATGTGATACAAAAATCCAATCTATTGTGTTGATAATGTGGAGCCCTAGTTCAAGCATAAATCATAACCATAAGGAACAGTGCGTTTCATTGTCCTCAAAGAAAGTTGATTCTCCTGTCTGTTCTTTAGTTGCTGACCATAGAAATGTCTCCATCCCATCAAAATAAACAGCAGTGAGTCTTGTTTATGTAAGTCACTGTTGGATCGCTCTGATTCTGTGCCCTCAGTTCCTCTCTCATACGAAGCTTTATGATGCAAAATACATAGAGAAATATGTAAGGAAAATCTGCAGGATGATCCCCCTCATGGCCACCCAGCCATAGTTTATCATACATATGTAAAAATATTCAAATTAAACCCCACCAATACCAGCAGGTTTTGCATTATTTGAAATGATCAATATGTACGTTATGCTTCTCTTTTGACATAAGTGGAGAATGTGTTGTGTGAGTTTATATGCATATGTTTTTATTAAACCCTACCAGCATTTCTTTTAGTGATGCCTTTTGTGATCTGAGCAAAATGAAAAACTATTATTAATGTATGGAAAACATTATGGGCCAAATTTACTAAAGGTTTTACATGAGTAAAAACGTGTGCAAAGTTGATAACACCAGCAAAATAACACATAAGCTGATCTGCTAACGGTGTGCACGGATAATGACGTCTTTCGAAAGTGCAAGACAGCACCTGCTGTTCTTTTACTACTTTTGCCTTAATGAATATGCAATTTGGGGCGTGTCAATTTTATTGTGAAAAGTAATGTGAGGGTAACATGCAAATACATTTATTTACTACACACAGTGTGATCTACCAAGCCTAAACGGAATTTCATGTGAGTGCAACAGCATCTGTATTTAATACGTTTGAAAGGAAGGTGCAAACTGCAAAGTGTTGCGCAGAGATGGCTGCTGTTGTTGTTGCCAGAAGGAGACACAGCCGTAATCAAACAAAACTTAGAGAAATAACAATATTAGAAAATAGTATTCCATATCCAAAATTATTTTATTTTATTTAATCGATGAACTATATGATTTTTTTATTTGTGTTTTCCTTTAGCTTTGGCAATACTGTTGTATTAACATTCATGGCAATAAAGCAAATTTTATTTAGACCAGACTTCTTTTCTCCGTGAGATGGAAGAATTTAGAAAGTTGTGTGGCGCTGCGGAGAGCCGCCAGCTGCAATGCATGGATCATGTGTAAAATTAATCCAGCCACAGTCAGTGATTGTTCCCTCTGGCTGGATGAAGCACGATCTGCTGGCATTTCCTGGCGTCTGGGTCATTCCAGCATACTGTATCTGTTTCTGCTGAGGTTTCCCAAAGCAGTTTTTCAGGTGTGCTGTCCCAAGTACTTTGTGCAATCTCAGGCAGGATGGGCAGGTACGAGGTTTTTACGCAGTGGCTGCTTTCCCTCCTGACTCTCCATGGCGGAAACCATTAAAACATGCAAAACCCTAAATACTGCCACCTCCATTGTGTTTGCTCCTGTTGTCATCTATGCAATAATTCTTAGTTGATTACCCACAACAGATACTACAATTGTACGTGCAATATTGTAGAATGCACACGCAATAGTACTCTTTATTTGGGATGTTAGTAAATCCGGTCCTATGTCACATAGCAGGAGATATAACGTAGTTCATGTAAAATATTCATGACAGTCTTCCTCTCTTCCATGCTGTTTTTCAGGCACGTTACAAGCAGAGTCTTGACCCCACGGTGGACGAAGTGAAGAAGCTGTGCACGTCACTGAGACGCAACGCCAAGGAGGAGCGAGTCCTCTTCCACTACAATGGCCACGGGGTGCCACGTCCCACTGTCAATGGAGAGATCTGGGTCTTCAATAAGGTACCACACACAAACTCTCTATATTAATGCAGCAGTAAATCTCCTAGTCCCAAACAGCATAACCACAGTAGTACTGCATTCACATAACAAACAGTTGTGACATTTCAGTAGCATTTATTGAACTGAACCACATAATAGGCCAAATCATGCTGTTTTGGTCTGGTTTGGTCTGCAAGTTGAATTACGATACACACAGTCTAACGCAGTCACTTAAGGCTTAGTTTCACACAAAGCACTGCAGTATGTCCTCCAAGCAGGATGAAAAGAAATACAAAAATAATAGGTTCAGAGCATTTTGACAGCATGTTCTTTCCACTGGCTTTACCAACTTTTCCCTCTTGGATTAGATGTGTGGCTTTCTGAATGCAGATATTTTTACTGGTTATGACTTTCATAACATACTCTTTATATCCTCACACAAAGACATTCAAAGAGAGCTGATAAATTGTCCAGATGCATGTGCACCGTGACCACCATGCTCAGCATTGAGGAGCTGTGTAGCAGAGTGTGCAGCCATGTGTGGTCTATAACGTTCTTCTGGTAACACTCGTGGACTTCTTGCTTCTTCGCAGAAGCCTCTTGAGGAAGTTGAGGATTGTTCGCACCAATTCATTTTGAAAGAGCAACAGCCAGTGGGTTAACTCAATAACTGCCAATGGTGTTGTGTTTATAGGCCTCGCCCCTCTTAGCTGTGTTCCAGTAAAAAACACTACAAAGCATGATTTTTGTCCCCAAAGTAGAGATGATTTGTACACTAGAGTGGCTTCCTGTGGTCAAAAAGTGCCAAATGACGTTACAACCAAATTTGAAAGCGTTCGTCATAGCTTACCTGCATGTAGTGTTCTTAGGGTTGAGCTCGACAGCTATGTGGAGACTCTTGAGTTGTTCATCACCTTGTCCTCTAAGTAAGCACCCACTCACAGTGATGCACTGCTGCTGTCTGGGCTTAGCTGTTGCCTCCACGTCCCCAGTACACCCTCGGGCCTTATGTCCTCTTCTCCTTCTCTTTTCTCCTTCTTCTTCCTCCACATTTTACTCCTCGTACTTATTCCTTTTCCTGCTAAATGAAGCTGCTGTGTCACTGGCTGCCGAAACATGAGATCAGTAGAGATTTGGTGTTAAAGCATTGTCAGGGAGGCGGTGTAGAACACCTTTTATTGCACCATGATTATTAGATTTATTACTTACTGCCTCTTTTTGTGTTTGTGTCCCCATTTTTTGTGCCTCTCATTTTCCCTCATCATTATTTTCTCTTTTCAACTGTTTCTCTCCTCTCCTCTCCTCTCCTCACACTCTTCATCAAACAGATGACGAGTTAAAAATTAAACACAAATCTACAAAAGTGAGTTATCAGCAGTAACATGATGCACCGTCTCTCTCATTCCTCACTCCGACACCTCCGTGTCTCTTTCTCTTTTTCTCTTTCAGAACTACACCCAGTACATCCCGCTGTCCATCTACGACCTGCAGACGTGGATGGGGAGCCCGTCCATTTTTGTCTACGACTGCTCCAATGCCGGAATCATTGTCAAGTCGTTTAAACAGTTCGCCCTGCAAAGAGAGCAGGAGCTGGAGGTGGGCAGCCGCACTGACAAACACAGTCATGCCAACAACACAGCAGCCGTGAATTAGTAGTAGGGGTGGAAGACAAAAAAAATAAAAAACTTAGATTAGGTGAGTCATACCAACACACACAAGTCAGTTGGTGTGCAGGAACTGGGGAGAAATTAACAGCTGGAGTTATCAGTGACAAAGTGGGTGATTTGTCACTCTTACACACACACAAACTCACATCCTGTATTTATAAAGAGGACCTAAGTGGTGTCAAGTCATGATTCTCCGCTTGGATCCTCCCTGAAAAATCAACAATGTCCTTAGTGCTGTGATCCAGATCAAATGGGCAGCTGTCTCTAAATCATGGTTATGGTTTAGTCTTGGGAGTACACAACCCCTCTCCACACACCTTACCTACCCCAACCCCATTCCCCTCACTGCTTCACCGTTTTCTGACATTTTTTCTCTCTTTCTCTCTCCCGGCAATGGCGTGTTATGTGAATGCCTAATGAGATGGCGCTGTCATTCATCTCAATTATTCATGGAGAAGTTTCAGCCAGACTGTAGAGTAGCTGGAAATCGAGAGCGCGATAGAGAGAGGGGCACACGATGAGCAGTACTGAGCAGAGAGATGGGAGGGCTTCTGTGAACGCTGTGTTTACCCATTAAAGTAGAGGTGAAGGCAGCAGCTAAACTGCTGAGTTGCCGCAGTGTTTGACAGAACTCTTCACAAGAGTCTCCATCCTCAACCTCCCCGGCTCTTTCCTGTTTCAGTTTGCAGAGGTCATGGCAGGGCTACACCATCAGGGCTGAAATCACTGATCATATTTTACTAAATACAACAAAGATTTCTTTCCTTGTTCCTGGAAAAAGAAGTTTCTTTGCACCTTTTATATTTTGAGTTTGTTTACTGTAGTTATTTATAAAAGTAGCTCCATAGTTATTTTTTTTATTTGAAAACAATAATTTCTTCTTCTCTTAGTTTGGGAGGCATTTTTCCCTCAGACAAACTACTTACATGTCATTATCCAGGTTCAAAAGAAAAATTGTCCAAGAGACAGACAATGGTCTCTCAGACGCCACCTCACAGATCTGGCTTTAATTTACTCAAGCTCACTCGTTCACGTTTAATAGAACATTTAGTGGAATAGCTTCTGCAAGTTTAACTTGACTTGTGGCAAAGACTTTTTGAGGTTTTATTTGTAATGCCTAAACCACCTGTTATGTAAAATTAAGAGCCTAATGTAATATATATTAATACAAAAATACGTTTTATTATATTATTTAGTATTGTATACTCTTGTAGAAAAAGCCTGGAAGTATACAGTATACCTTTTGGCTCTAAAATAATCAACATTTTGTAAATGAATTGATTATCAGAGTGAGCTATTATATAAATATAGTCACCTGCCCAGAATGTGAGTGATATGTAAATTACTTTAATTCCTTGTAGGTGTACCGAGTGTCAAGATTGCAGCAATTACTTTCTTTCTTTGCCTGTGGGTGGCACCAGCATATCTACACCTGCATCTAAACTGCTGCTGGTACCTTTCTTGATGTTGCACGTTGGACTAGAACTACTAGTCCAGATGTTCAGGTTTAAAACTGCTGTTGAAAAGTATCGTCTGTTTTTCGCATCAAACACACTGTGTCTTCTTCTGGGTTTTCTAACAAACAACTTTGTCCATAACAGGTTTTTAATAATATGTTTTGACTGTCTTGTCTATTGAAAGAGAAATGACCGTCCAGCCTAGAGTTTCAACAGCCAGAGAGGAGGTGGTGGGAGCACAAACCCCTCGTTCTTGTAGCGTTTTGTACAAGGGTTACTGAGTAATGGGCCATTTGGGGTTCTCCCAAGGCTATAGCCAAGATAAAATTTTTAGCTACCACTGTCTGTTGTCAGTTGAGTGTAATTCTAGTCAACCCTTAGCCTTAAGGTCTAGGAGTAAAGCTTGTGAAGTGACTATGAGTATTGTCAGCTGAGAGATGCTGTGTGGCTGACGCAAGAAAGGACGGACAGTGCACACATGTATTTATTTATTTATTTAAAGGTTGGAGCTTCAGGGTTTAACTATAGTTTTAGGTAGGGAAATAAACGGAGGAAGTCCCCCAGTCAAATGCAGGTGAGGTTGCATGTCCATAAGCAATTTCACTTTTCTGCCTGAGTGCCCGCCCTTCTCACCCACTCACACAGGAAGTGTTTAACAGGGACGGGTAATAGAATATAAAGACAGAGGCGATGACTTCTAGAGACTTTTTAATCATGCAGGAGGTGATCCGAGCAGGGAGTCCCCCACCTCGCCAACGCTCTCCTGCACCCACATCCCTCTGTCACAACATTCTGTGCACGCACATGGGGTAATCATGCAACAATGAGACACACACACACGCACACGCTCGCTTTGTCAGCCATTTTTAAATACACACTGTACACACACACACACACACACGGTGCACCCGTTTCAAATAGCACGACAGGCCTGGTCTCACCAGGGACTGTATTGTTTGGTGATGAAGACAAGAGCATGAAGGAGCCGGCTGATGGGAAGATGTAAAAGGAGGAGGAGGTGTTTTATCACTCCTCCACAGCGCCAGATCAACCTTCTCCTGCAGTCCAGTCAGTCAGTCTCTATTATAGGGCCACCTGCTTCCTTTTAAATATCTCATCACTTCCTGCGTGCACTCAGCAAACATGCTCACTGCATTAGTTGCGGGGCGGATGTGTGTGCCCGGCAGCACTTGCAGCTACGAACACGCTGGACTGTGAGAGCTTGTGTATGCGTGTGTGTTGTAGGTAAGGTGTTTGTGGTGCCAGTGTTTCCAGGATGCTCACATTAAGCCTCCAACGGCTCTTTCGATAATTTTAATGAATAATTGATGCACGGCTGTAAAATTTATTGCCCGATAGAGTTGCTTTTTGGTTGCCCTGCGTGCACGTGCGGCACTGAGCTCTTCTGCTGTGATCGTGTGTTTTTACATCTGAAATCCTCCCACCCTGTGGGATTAGTCTCATAAATTAGTGTCACTTAACAAAAAAGGGATTCACAGCAATTAAATTGTACCCTGATATCTCCAGTGAAAGAGAAAAGAAAGCTGTCATGGTGATTTCCATGGTAATTTGCAAGACTACAATATGCTAATGTGATAATTACAATGGATGCTTGGCATTAATCAGCTTCTGCTGGCAATGTTGTCGTATTTACCGTTAGGATTACTGCAGCACGCCGTCACACACTTCTTCCAAATTTCTTTGAAGAGACAATGTTCTTCATAGGTTGACACAACAAGAGGCTTTAGAAACGCATGCCACTTTGTTTGTGTCGTCTGTCTCTGCGAGTGAGTCGCCGATTTCCTCATTAGAGAGAGAGAGGAGGAATTATGTTACAAGAAGACTGGCAGAGATCCATCTGCACAGCAACAATCGGGCACCCACTCACGCCTGCAAGTATTTCAAAGAGAAATGAAATATGTATGTTGATAGATAAAGACACATGCACAGTTGCAAACGCTATCATGCTTTCCGCCATTAATTAAGACTATTCTTATTCTGTATTTTTAATATCATGATTTATTCATGTGTGTGCAGAGCTCCTTATAGAGGGGTTCTGTAAATACATAATGTCTCACACTGAGATCTGAGCTTCAGCTGCTGCCGCTGCCTTTCTTCCACCACTTAGTATAGAGTCAGCTAATGAGTTATTGGACTAGTGACGAGCAGGAAAGCTGTGCAGTATATACAGGAGTCGGGGGGCATTACATAAATCTACACAAGCCCTTTTTATGCAGTTTGATTAGCTTAACTAGAAACCTGTGTTGAACATTTGAATCAGGTCATGGTAGTTTTATGAATAGAATACAGAAGATCAGTTTTTTGTTGCCTTTTTTAAGTGAATTTTTCCAGGCCTACAACAGGAATAGCATTTCTTTCCCTGTTTTGTTTCACGGGTAGGCTGTTGGATCATTTGTTGTATTTGTTTCCTTGTCTCATCCTCTAATTGACTTGAGTCACCCTCTGGGCACAGAAAGACTGGCACGTCCCCTCAGTCCTTGCCTCGGGTCATAAGGTTTACCCCAACTTGCATCAGATGCTGAGCTAAAGCTAGCAGGCCCACGGAGTAGCTTCCACTCACGAGCTCTTTCGTATTACTGCTCTGTTTGTGCTTGTCTTTTAGTTGTTTGCTGGGTCTGCTATACATGAAAGTGCTTCTGTTCTTAGATTATATGTCTATAAATGCACCTATGATTGCTTGTGTTCTTTTGACAGTGGAAATTGATTGCCAGGGCTTTTAGTGCAATCTAACACTGAATACAGTTTTCTCACACTCTCTCCTCCCACTTAGCCTTCGTGCCTGAAGCCCCCAAAGTGTTTGCAAACACAGAAAGAGTTTTAGCACTTTTAGCAACATTTTCCGCTGCAGTAAACAGCTGTTCAAGGTGTATACAGCTCTTTAAGAGTTCTTATGGTGACAGTTTGCAATTCATACCCGACATGCTTATCTACACTGAGCAAGGCCAGGTGTGCAATACGGTGAGTTTTCCCCCACACTTCCCACTCACTGGAGGTTTTTCTTTTCCTGCCATTGACATGCTGTTTTGACTAATTACCATAAATCAAGATCAAGACATAAATTTTTTATTTATACAATGAAAGTTACCGGGACGGTGCACATTCATAGACATTTCTGTAATAGTGCCTGTTTAGCCATCTTGGCAAATTGTCTACTGCAGTACCTTCTTTGATGTGGTCAGTCGATTAATCACTGTCACTTGATGAGCTAAATCCAAGTTACCGTGATGGGCCTTGTCATGCAATCAGTTTAGTAACAAGATGACATTGTTAAGAATTGCCTCCTTAAATATATGGCCTTCGCCTTGTGATATACTGTCGCACTTCTGGTCTTTCTTCATGAAGCTTAATGTCTCCTTAAAGAGTAATAACTTCTGAGACTTTATTCAGGTGAGGTAATAAAATGTAGGAAGCCCAGACGGGATGTCTCAGTCAAGGATTTTTGATCCGAGTCGTTTAATATTGGGAATCTGACAATATCAGATCAGATCTGATACTTTTATTTACATAAATGTTGACTGAAAATCTGATACATTGAAATAACAGCTCTAGACCACTAAATGCACCTTATTTTTTACAAGCTACCTGATTTAAAACCATTTATGGTTCTAAGCTTTGAGAATGCGACAGAAACACTAGGTATACTCACGGTTGTACAGTAATGTTACTGAGTCAGATTCACAAACTCTTAATTTTCAGTTCGACCGCTTGGAGCGCTCCAACATTAGCAGGCTGAGGTGGACAAAACACAAAAGCTGGAGTGACAAAAAAAAATTGGGAGCCAATGTGACTGGAGACCTCCCAAGCATTTGCCAATGAAATATCAAACACTTATTCAAAAATATTTATATAAACAGGTTCAATTTATTTATCTGTTCCAAAATTAGAGCCTGTGAAACTGTGATGGTATATTGTGTAGTCAATGAAAGAGGACCAAGAGTCTGGGTGGTATTTTGCAGAAGAGGCAATAATAATAACATAATAATCTCCCTTCCTAATTTCTTACTAAAATTAGGCAAAGCAACAACCCATAGCAGTCAGCGATGATAAAGGGAGGACTTGGATTGCTGCCTCCATTAAGACCCACAGCTCATTAAAGTCTACTCGGCAAAAGACAGAAACCATATTGAACTCCCAGCAAACAGTACAATGCAGCACATAAATAGTCAAGCTCCAAATATAATTAAAGTTTTACATCATAGGCAGGCCTCCTCCATTTTTTAGATTTGTATTGACTCTGCCATCACAGAGTGTGGAAATAACATGCTAAGTCTTTTAAATAGACAAGAGGATTGTTTACCTCTGAAGACCGCCTGCTAAGTGGGCAAGCAAGAGGAAAATGTCCTCCCTGGGATCGATAAACTATCACATTATCATTACTTTCTCAAAATATCTCAGGCGGTGCGTCAATTCAAATGTTTTGCCTGAAAGCACAAGGTGGCAAACCTGCAAACAGCACTGTTATGTATCTTCTGCAACGGAGGGAAAACACAGCAACAAAAAATATATTGCTCATCTCATGCTGCCCATAACAGAAGTTAGTTTGTTTCAGTTTTCAGTGAGATTTTTCTTTGTCTTTTCCCAACTCCATGTTTCACTTTCAAAGTGGTACACACAACACAGCAGCTTATGAAGAAAACATCTCCATGGTGGACAAGGTTCAACTGATATGAAATACAATACTTTAAATGAGCTCACTCTCATCAGTTTCTGGTTTCAGTGAAGTCTGTTGCTGAAAGTTGACAATTGATCAAATCACAAGTAATAGATTTGCCTCTTGGAGAAAGTTCTATGGGAGTGATGAGATGAAGCCAAATCTGACGAGTACGAACAGCTTGCAACAATAATGACAACAGTTAGAGCAGGCTTGTGTAGGTGGTAACAGGGTGCTAATGCTTTCACCTGTTGCCATCGCTGGACATTTGCAAAAACTCACACTTTGACTTGTTTCTAACTTGTTTTTCTTGAAGTATTGAGATGCCAGTGAGGTCTCTTCACTTGTTCTCTGCACCTCCTTTCTTCACTACTTATCTTTCTACAGTCCCTTCAAAAGTATTGGAACGGTAAGGCAAATTCCTTTGTTTTTGTTGTTCACTGAAGACATTTGGGTTTAAGATCAAAAGATGAGACAAGAGTTCAGAATTTCAGCTTTCATTTCCTGGTATTCACATCTAGATGTGCTAAACAACTTAGGACATACCACCGTTTATATTAGACCACAGCATTCTTAGGTGAGCAAAAGTAATGGAACAAATAATCCTAAAGTAAATAACATTTAATATTTGGTGGCATAACCCTTGCTTGCAATAACTGCCTCAAGCCTGCGACCAAATCGACATCACCAATCTGTTGCATTCTTCATTTGTGATGCTATTCCAGGCTTTTACCGCAGCTTCTTTCAGTTCTCGTTTGTTTCGGGGTGTTTCTCCCTTCAGTCTCCTCTTAAGGAGGTGAAATGCAGCTCTGTTGGGTTAAGGTCAGGTGATTGACTTGGCCAGTCTAAAACCTTCCACTTTTTTCCCCCCTGATGAAGTCCTTTGCTTTGTTGGCAGTATGTTTTGGCTCTTTGTCCTGCTGCATGATAAACTTCCTCCCGTTTAGTTTCAATGCATTTCTCTGTAAACTGGCAGACAAAATGTTTCTGTCCACTTCTGAATTCATTCTGCTGCTACCATTATCAGTTACATCATCAATATATGTTAATGAGCCTGTGCCAGAAGCAGCCGTGCACGCCCAAGCCATGACATCACCTCCACCATGCTTCACAGATGAGCTTGTATACTTCGGATCATAAGCAGTTCCTTTCTTTCTCCACACTTTGGCCTTTCCATCACTTTGGTACAGATTAATCTTGGTCTCATTAGTCCATAAGATTGTGTTCCAGAGCTTTTACGGCTCATCTCTGTACTTCTCAGCAAATTTCAGTCTGGCCATCTGATTCTTCCTGCTGATGAGTGGTTTGCATCTGGTGGTATGGCCTCTATATTTCTGCTCTCTGAGTCTTCTTCCAACAGTGGATTGTGATACCTTCACCCTGCACTGTGGAGGTCGTTGGTGATGTTTTCTTCACAGCTCTCACGATATTTCTGTCATCAACTACTGTTGTTTTCCTTGGCCGACCTGTTCGACCTCTATCTGCTCAGTACACCAGTAGTTTCTTTCTTTTTCAGGACGTTCCAAATTGTTGTGCTTGCTATGCCCAATGTTTGTCCAATGGCTCTGGTCGATTTTCCTTCTTTTCTCAGCTTGACAATGGCTTGCTTTTCTCCCATAGACAGCTCTCTCTGGTCTTCATGTTGGTTTCATGTTGGTTTATCCTCTTTAACAGGAAATGCAGTCTTTATAGGTTTGAACCAAGGATGAAAACTTAGACTAGTCATGCAGAGATATTTAATGTTTGGACAATCAACCTAAAAGGCAACACCTGGGCAACAAGGAACATCTGTCAGTCACATGTTCCAATAGTTTTGCTCACTTGAAAAATGGGTGGGTTCAAACAAAGGGTGGTATGTCCTGAGTTGTTTAACACATCTAGATGTGAATACCAGGAAATAACAGCTGAAATTCTGAACTCTTGTCTCATCTTTTGATCTTAAACCCAAATGTCTTCAGTGAACAACAACAACAAAGGAATTTGCCTTACTGTTCCAATACTTTTGGAGGGGACTGTATGTCAGTCTGGAGCTCTGCTGCTCTTCAGTCTGCCTCTGACATTTTATTTCATGTCTTATCTGGTCTTTAGCTAAAGCTCAACATCCTGTCCTTCGGTCTGAAATGACTGAATTCTTACTGTGGTTGTTGCAGCTTTACAGTCTCCTGATATTTAAAACCTAATTGTTCTTTTATTCCAATAAATATTAGTTACATTTACATATATTTAGATGTGGCTCAGGTGGTCAGTAAATGAACTCTAACTGTCATGTTTTGTCTGTTCAGGTGGCAGCCATCAATCCCAGCCACCCACTTGCCCAGATGCCCCTGCCGCCCTCCATGAAGAACTGCATCCAGCTGGCTGCCTGCGAGGCCAGCGAGCTGCTGCCCATGAACCCCGACCTCCCAGCCGACCTCTTCACCTCCTGCCTCACCACGCCCATCAAGATCGCCCTCCGATGGTAACGTTTCTCTCATACTTTGTTTTTCTTCTCTCTACCACAACACAGTTTCTTCCTATCCTACGTATGAAAAGTCAGAATCGAGGAATTCCGCATGGTTTATTCAGTGTATGTCCTGAATTAATGCTGAAGTAAGGGGGTAGCTTTTTGTCACCTAACTGTTAACGTTTAATTAGTGTTGTCCTTTAATGAACCCTGTCAGGGCTAAAAACAGTAGGATGAAAATCTTAATACAGGACATACAGGAGCTCTAGGGTTATTTTCTTTCTCAGAAGTTAAGAAAATATGAAATAGGTTCTGCTTTGGAAGAACTTGAAGAACTATCCCCACCTAGCTATATTGCTTGACCAAAAAGTAGCTGTTCGATACCACAGAGGAATTTTTAATATAAGGTTATAATAATTAGTATGAGGTCATAATCAGTTTTTTTTTTGGATTTGATTGTGGATTCATTTTCTGCTAGATAATGCTTTATTTGTCTGTAATGATCATGCAAAGGAACATAATATTTTCCTTTAACCATGTACCATTTCATCCGTGTGTCAGTCATGAATTTGTAAAGCCTGTTAGTGGCAGCTCGGATCGCTGCTTGGACACTCTGAGGACACAATGAGGTGTTCTGCGCAGAGAGCAAACACTCCTGAGCTCCCACCCTGCTCAGTATTCAGCTATGATGAAAAATGTAAACCCACATCATCCACAGCGATGCAAGGATGATGATCCCTGCGCAGGACACTTCAGTAAAATTGGTAAAAGATATTCAGGCAAAATGTTGTTTGGGAGGCTGGGCTGATACAGTGGCCTGATTTAAATGCAGCACGATGCATCTTTCAGTGGGCTGTACTGGTGGAGCTTCAAGCTAAACCACGGGAGCACACCGGTTGCATCAGCTAGTCAGCTGTGTGTGGGGCACACTGAGCATGTGGGGCTTGCACACCCAGGCAAAGGTGATTGCATCACTGATCCTCTGTCAAAAACACCTCACACAGATATTTAATTCATGTTCTACATATACATGTTCTGTAACTCCACATCTTGTATGTACAGTAGGGCATTTTATTTTCTGACAGTCTGAGAGCTGATTAGAGAGGCCATCTTATGCGTTAGGGTTGCGTGTCAAACCTGTTTTTGAGTATCGACTGATATTTGTCTGTAGCAGCAGGTATCAAAAAGAACAGAAGGCCTGCTTTGAAATGTGAGATAGCTGCACTTGTTTTCTCACTCCCTTGAAATGATGTTTGCAGATGGAAAACAAATCAGATAACCACGGCACAGCGCCTGTGTCAGCTGGAGCCATTATCCCAAGTTTTCCTCTAGTTTCGTTTGTTGTTGTAAAATGTGCACACCCTGTGCCATCTCTGATTGGTGAGTAGGACCGCAACAGGAGGCGCATGATTGGCGAGCAAGTCTGTCACACAAGGATGACAAAGGAATGAATCTGCATGATTGTTTAAAACAGGTCCAACGCGCTGTATAATTAACCTACATTTTTAATTGCAGTCTTCACGATTGGCTAATCACGTTCTTTGAAATCTCAGTTTTGATTTGAAAACGATTAATCGTTCAGCCTTACTGTTAAATTTTTTTCCAGCTAGTGACCAAGCTACCTATCGTGCTAACTGCATACTGTTTAACTGACAGAAATCCAGCTCGCTCGGAGAGCTTTTGCGACTGACTAGCACCATCATGTTCCCAGCTGGGTACCTTGTTAGTGGTTAGCTAGCCAACTACAGTAGCACTAGTTAGCCCTATGAGTTGTCATTACATCACAAATGTTTGTAATACTCTGTAAGGCAGTTAAGTCATGTCTTGCTTTTTGTAGTTTTGACCAGCATCTCTATCAGTTATCAAAATAAGTTTAAAACTTCTGGATATGTGGCAGTGTAGGAGTCCAACAGGGCAAGCAATGTGACTTCTTTAGTTCTGTTCTGTCGGCCTTTTTCATAGAAGATATTTTGACATGTCACAGTTGGAAAAGTCACAGATATAAATAATAAATGAATAATGGCTGAATTTCACATAGCTGCTTTAATTTCAAGGTCCTGATATTGTTCATGCCAGCACACACTTGAATAGAACAAAGTTAATTTTTAATGTTATTACCAACATTTGTGCTTTTCTTACTATGACAAGTCAAAATAAATTCTGCGACATATTTAGTAGTTATTGTGTATTTGTCCTTGTCAGAGCGTGAATGCCTTTTTTTGTATGCATTTTGGTTGTATCAGTTTTACACAGTTTGGAAGCAGTTTAGCTAGTGATACCTCTATTACACATTTCTCACATTATTATTTTTTTCTTTTGTTAGCTCAATGTCTCACACAATCATCACCCACTGGGTTTAAAGAGATTTCTTGTCATGCGATATCCATAAAATGCTGGTTGGCACCTCATCCTCCATGTACCACTTTACCTGCCCAGATACAGTTTCTATCTGCAGTGTACAAAGTCCCTTAGGTGCCATAAATCATTACTTCCCCACACAGTTTTTGCATTTTAATGACTTAATTCACTTTGTACACACTAAAAGTCACAGGGATGATTTAACAATTTTTTGACAAAAAATTTGAAAGAGGCGGATAACTTTTTAAAAAATATGTAAGTGGGAATGACAGGTTGCCTTCAGGAGGTGTCCTACAGCTCGCACAATGTCTCTACTCTGCCAGAAATGTTGAAGAGTTTCGTTTATCTTCCTCCACTCTAAATCCACATCCCACCATGACCTTCAGGATAATGAGGTCTCAGTATTATGCCATTAATATTGATATCCCTTACCAACATTCCCCTTCGAAGAACAAGTTGCTAAAAGCCTGCTGGATAATATTGACTGAACTATTTCTTAATACCCTCTGCTTTCAAAAATGGATTTGGGACTGATCCCTCCTATTAATGACCCGGTAAGGTCAAGCTTCAGTGGTTTGTGTAAATTAATTTAACTTGTTGGTCGGTAATGAATCAGGTAAAATTTTGTCATGTATTACTGAATATATGGATTATATATGTAATTTCCTCACATAGCTCAGCTGACTTTGATAATCACATTTAGCATAAATGTTACATGAACGCCAATGCTTTAAAAGAGAATATTCAAATGTATTACTAATATATTCATAATGATAATTCACAATTCATTCAGTCTTTATTTAACCATGGAAATAATACAGTATATAAATAGATACAGATTCATCTGAAAGAAAAAAAAAAATCTACATACTACTATAAAAGATGCGTGCCACAAATCCAGTCATGATTCATTTTTGGTATTCTGTTTTCCTTCTTAAAACTGTGGGTTTCACAGTAAATTCAACTACAGACTACACTTTGAAACTTTTGAAAGAAAAAATAACACATTCTTCTCAATAAAAGTTGAATTCATGAGCAGTAAAAAGGCATCCCTTTCTCCCTGGTAGAACTTTTCTTAGCTTATGGCGACTCGTGGTAGCTAATGCTCGCAAACTTTACACTATGTTACAGAAATTACCATAATCCACACATAGCATTCAGCTGCCGTTCAGTGTCCTGCCAGATTTAGTAGAAAATTTGATTGAGAATAGTTCCTCTCCATATCAGCCGTGGCCTTCATCTACATAAACCTGCCCTCTTGCTTCCGCTGTCACCTGGAAGTCTCCAAAAATGCTGCAGCTCCCGCTCACCACTTCTTCCCTCCTCCTGATCTTCCCATTATTTGTTGCTGATTCTCATGTTCGCTTATTATTTTCTAAATAAAGACATGCCGAGCTGTCTTCTCTTTAATTTCACACAGCCCCAGTCTGTGAAACTGCAAGAACATGAGGAAGGTATGGTGTGGAATTTGGCAGGTTTAGAATGGGGAGATGGAGGGCTTCACTGATGTGCTGACTTACCTTGGCTTTAAAACTTTAATGAGATGCATTGAGGGGTGGATGATGGGGTTTTCAGAGAGAGAGAGAAAGAGAGAGAGAATGAGTTAGGGAGAGCGAGGAAGAGTGATTGCATCTGTACCTTTCATTGCTCAGCTGAGCAGAAAATCATTACTGATGGAGCTCCATCTTCAAGGGATTTCCCCACTGTTGTGGTGGATGGGGAGGGATGGAGGAGATGAGCATCTGAAAATAGACAGGAAGGGAACGGGATGACACTAGGGGTTTGCAGGGTAAGGAAGAAAAAGAAACAACGGAAGAGAGCTCAGGTTGTGTTTCAATCATATTTTCATCCATGATCTAGGATCACCAGTGTCAGTCAGTCCACTATTGTATTGTATGGGTTGCCGTGAAATTTGATACAGTGCTCAAGACAGTTAGGAGAAGAATCCTGATGACTTTAGTGAACCCCTTACTTTTCATCTATCACCACTGGGAGTGTCAAAGCCTTTAATCTTCCAGTAAGATATACGTTCACCAGTCTCCACACTAAATGGCTTAGCACAGAACTTGCTTCCATGGCAGTGCTGTCGCAAAACATCACGTTCAAGCGAAAAAGAGCTAATATGCAATTTCTTCTTATCATTTTCAACACCACCCATGGATCATGTATCTATACTATGTTGTGGAAGTGACCTGGTTTCTTGATTGGCAATTCAAGACGAACTAACTTGTGACTTCAGATTTGTGGTCGTAATGGTGCCTTTTTAAAAGCTTTTACTTTTATTCCAGATTATCCCTCCATGGTGTCAAATCCGAAATGCTTTCACAAGACTTCTCATATGGTTAGATGTCTTGATTATCCGTTTAGCACAACAACATAGTCTTTCAGTTTGCATTAATGAAGACAACAACAATTTGTTTTGGTAATAAGCACAACGGACGTCCTGTATTCTCATACAGGCTGATAACTCGACCCCAAATTGCTCCACATGACTGTTCAATCGGCGTGCGTGTGTGAATGTTCATTTCTGTTCTGAGCAGTTGGCCTCAGTGTGTGAATGGGTGAGTGTGACGTAGTGTAAAAGTGCTTTGAGTTGTCGGAAGACTACAAAGGTGCAATACAAGTACAGACCATGTCAACATTGTTGTTTTAACATG